ATAATATAACATAATATAAGATATATATATTTTAGGTGAACTAAGAAGGAAAAAAGAAGAAAGCAGGCCACTTCAGAGAGAAGTTCTGTCAACTGCTATCAGAAACTAGAATTTGTATTCAAAAGCTCTCTGGCCCACCATCTCTAGAAAGGGGTCAAGTAGGTAGAAAGGTCTGTGTATAAGCAGAAATGATCTTGAATATTAAATGAGTTCAAAGTTGAGAGATCAGCATAGAAACAAATAGAAATGGAAAAGAATAAAAATGATGGTATTTTTCTTCTCTCACAAATACTAGTTCTACGTCATATATGTTTTCATTTGAATGGGATAGGAGAAAAAGAAGAGAAGCAGGGAGAAAAGAGACTGGCAATAGTTTGGAGAAACAGTCTCATTTGATAATTAAAATCCGGCCTTATACCAAAAGTGTTTTAAGGTGATCAGACCTAGACTTGGTTTTGACTTTGGGAATCAAAGTGTTTAATAAGATCAAGCTTCAAATATTTAATGAAGAAAGATAGATGACATCTGAGTGTTTATCATGAATGTGTCTGGTATTGAGCTGTGTGCTTTTACACGCATTCTCACTTAGTCTGCCTAACCATCTATTAAATGAATACCTTCCATTCTATGGAATAGAAAACTGGCTTAGAAAAATTAAGCAGCTTGTTCTACTTCAACTAGCAGGTAGCAAGGCAGAGACAAGTTTGAAGCCAAGTTTGGCACCCTAAAGTGTTCTATGTTACAAAGATTTTATACATCAATGGTTACCAAACACAGGAGGTATCAGAATCACCATGGATGCTTTTAAATACAGGTTCTAAGGCCTCACCCAAATCGACTCAATCAGATTTGGGAATGCACTGTTTATCGTAGTCCATCTTCTGGTATCATTATTTTCATCATTCTCTGTATTCCTGTAGAGTTCAGTACCTTCAATGGAAATGTCTTTAATTTCAGCACTGATTTACATTCTCAAGAAACTTTTTCTTAGATTTATTTGAATCTAAACATGACCCTACACATCACAAACTGTATTTATATAGAGAGTGAAGTTTCACTTCTTGACTACTTCTTTTTACTATCCCCATTTTCTTAAATTTCAGAGCATTCAAAAGTTGTACCTCATGGATTAAGGCAGATGGCAACAGGCCAAGTTAGTATGCCTGAATTCTTTATGTACAAAGTAGTAATATCCTTGGTTAAGGCTTTGGATATAGCTACGTCATAAAATCTGGTTTAAATAAGTTAGAATTGGCCCAGACTAAGAGACTTAATCTTCATTTCTCTTTTTTAGCATGTACTCTTGACATTAAATTTTAACACACAAAAATATTGACCTTACCTCTCCAGAAACCAGAGCTATCACCGTCTTCAAACTTGCTGTTCGAAAAACCTATACAAAATATAAAATGAAACAATTTCCTGTACCTCTGTGGTAATAAATAATAATAATAAAAATAATAACCACACAGGGATTACTAGTTATGAAGACTTTTTAAGATAAGCAGTACACAATTGTATACATAGCTATCACATGCAAATTCACTCAGGCTGTAAACAATTTCTGCTTTGTGTCAGTTTATCAACTCCATTCTCTTAAGGTTAAAAACAACTTTCTTTTCAGCCAATTCTATATTACCTCAATTGTCACATACTCCTCTATATGCACATCGGCAAAACAGAGGAATATGTCAGTGTAACCCTATATGTTTTCTATTTCAAACCATCAAAATTCTCAAAATTTTACAAACCCAATCTCTTCATCTGCTAAGGACAATACAACTAAATTATAATCCAATAACTCAATGATTTTCTCCTCAATAACATGAAAATCTTGTTAGCTTCTTTTTGTTTACTCTTTTTAAAAAAAGTCATCAAACTTATTTGTTTGCTTTCAAACTTATTTCCTAAAAACCTACGTCTAAGAGTTATGCATCTCTGGAGCATACAGACAGGTCTCTAGAACTAATTTTAAAAGTATTCATCAGTAATCTTTCATAAAATTAAAAAATGTTTTTAATAAGTTTAAATAAAACAATCTTTAGTGCAAAGGCACTCAGGGAATATATACCTTCAAATTAAATGTCAATATGGAATGTCTATCAGTATTTAAACTCAATTATTAAAAAATCACTCAAGTTTTGATTGTAAGATATCATAACCAAGTAATTACCTCTGTTTCCAAAACTCTTTCCAACTCCAAAACCACCCATTGTGGATGTATTATCTCTTTTATTAGACTCACCAGCATCTGAAAAAGGTCAGATTAAACTCTTTAACATACAAAATTAAGTGTGCCATCATCAAAAACTAAGAATTAAATGAATTTCCGGCGTAAAGGGACTTCCAAGGATGGGAATAGAGTAGCATAGAAACCTAAAATTAATTAACATACCTGCAACTTAAAAGAAAAACTCTTAAATTATGATACCAAGGTAAAAACAAATCTACTACTGGTGAAATATAGCTTTCTACTGATTGGTATTATATTGGAGACCTTCAAGCAGGAAAATTCTGCTCCATAGTTTTCCATATGTTGAATTCTCATCCTGATACAGCCGGCTATTATACTCTGCCCTGTGTGAAAGTCATTGCTATTGAAAATGCTATACTGTGTCCTGTTTAACTGTTCTATTTTTTTATTTTTCTATTTCTTATATTTATCACATCCTTT